CCACTGCAGGCAAATCAACACAGGACACTGAACCCATTTTAAATACTGTAACTTATTTCTCTTCTGGCCCCTTAAGAACTTAAGTAGTGTACATTTTAGTGTATTTTTGCAAGTACCACAATCCTGTTACTGATTTACCATTCATGGAACTCGTCGTGTATAGTGTTTGAATAAGAGGAGGGTGGAATATGTTAACACAAGTTAACATATAGAGGGTAACAGTTCACAAATCATGTAAATTATCCTAAAAAATCCTAGGTGCCTACAATATTAAAAAAAGATACTTTGTCCTGGGTAGGATATCATGACTTGCACGTTACGCTTGAAATTTTTTCTTTACTTCTGTTCCGTTATGTTCTGCACTGAAGTGCTTTGTTTGAGTGGTCTTCCTATAGACCTATGTTGGTGTTGGACTGATGATGTCCCTTCACTAAGACTGTCATGTGCTGTTCCTCAGATCGCCATGTCATCAGTGGCAGCTGTCATTAAATACCTGGAGCTCCTGTCTGATGAGTCCAACTTCAACTCCTTTGAAATGACAACCTTAGACTTGAGTCAGTATATGAGACTGGACAACGCAGCAGTGCGTGCCCTTAACCTTTTTCAGGTAAGAGCCAAGATGTCACGTACTGCACCCTTTCTTCAGGGTGAGGGGGTACCCCCGTTTCTCTCCTCATTCTGCACTCGGCTCAGATCGTGTTTGTAAAGATTTCATTTATCTGGGAACTTGAACATTAAAAGCTTTGAAACTGAAACCCATGTTGTTCAGACTATAAATAAGGACTGTTCAAGGGCTGTTTCTTAATGTAACCTGAGGGGTTTGACTGAATCAGTGTTCATTGTAAGAGAGATGGCAATGGGAGTTGTGTTGTGTATTTGAATATGAAAATATTCTCATATACCCTATAACAACAACATCACTCTATTTCAGCCAATAAAGCAAACTTCTTGGAAGAGCAGTGCAGAGTGTGTTGTAAGATGGATTTATACTAATAAATCTGCAACAATGACTGGAAAGGTTTAAAAAAGAGAGGGTCTTTTCCGTCTTAGCAAGGTAGACAATTTCAGTCTGACACGTTGTAGAAATACCTTTTTCTCGCAGGAATTTTAAGTCTGGAGGGTATTAATCCGTAATGGAACTTGTGTTTTGAGGTTGGACAGATTAGGAAATGTCCTTTAGGTTCTACCTTTTCAAAAAGCATCACCCTGCTGCTCTTAGAAATCAAGTTGCAGAGCAGCAGACAGTGACAAGACTGCAAAGGTTGAAAATGTGATTTGAGAGCACATGGGGGTCTGATGTCCTGTCCACTTCTGCTGTGCTGGTTCCTGACACCTCCCGCTCCTCAGCACTGAGCTGCTCCAGCTCCTCTGTTTCTCTGCGACTGCGTCCAGACAGCCATTTAATAAAGCAGTGTGACCGCAGGCCTCTCCGGATGACACCAGCGGATCCCACTCCCTTGCTGGCTTGCTGAACAAGTGCAAGACTCCCCAGGGGCAGAGGCTTGTCAACCAGTGGATCAAACAGCCCCTCATGGACAAGAACAAGATAGAGGAGAGGTGAGTGTATCGCCTGCACAATAATGCTTTTGTTCACAAAGACCACTTCAACTGCCACTTCAGCTTCAGTACAGCTGCCTGACTCCCCAGTTTGTAAATAAAACAAGCCTAAAGCCTAAATAAAAGGCCGATGTTTGTAGACCAAAAGTAACAAACGCAAGTAAAGACATAAAAGGCCATGAGTATAAGGCAAACAGTTCCTTTGTATGTGTGTATATTTTCCTATCAGTCCAAAGTTTCGAGCACCACATAATATAAATCATTCAAGCTGGAAGAGGTCTTTATTTGTTCTACATAAAATAGAATGCATGGAATTTTTTACAGTACTGTTGCAAGCACACTGTTGGCTTCCCCAGGCGTCTAGCTCTGATAAGTGGGTATTTGTTAATCGGGTTTAGTTCTGCCTTTTGTGATGGTTCTCAGGCCCCCAGGGCACTGGGAAGAACGCCCACTCAGCAGGCCTGCGCTGAGCAATTGCACTGCCAGCTTCTCCCTCACGCTGGCTCGGTGCACTGTTATTGAGTAATGGCAAGAGGAAATGGCTTCCCTGGTCGGAACAGGGCGCTGAGAGACCTTCCCAGCTGCCAGTCTCCGATCTGGAGCAGCCTCCACGAGGGCTTGGAAGCAGTTTGTTGCTCTTACAAACCAATTTATTTTTTTCTTGTCTTTTGTGGTGTTTCTATGAAATACAAAAAAGGCTTTCAGTTAAATCCTGTTTTCTGGGGTGAGAAATTTTACCTCATTTCCATGAGCTGAAAGTTGATGAAGGGATACGCTTAATGGAATATGAATGCAAACTGTTGGTAGTGTTGGCTCATTTTTGTGCCATTAATAAGGAGTTTAGAATACAACTGAGGAGGCTGTTGCAGATCTGTGTCCTGTACAGTGACATGCTTGTCTGTTCCCAAAGGGAGTTCATTTTGATTTTAACACAGGCTGCTGATTAGTGAAAGTCATTCCAACCATCTTGCTCATTAAAACATTTTGATCAAGAGATTTTTTCAAAGAATCCCAGTTAATCCACTTCAGCAGTGTGATTTGTATTTTTTTTTATCTTATTCATGTTTTTTTGTTTAAAGAGTCTCCTGTTCTCGGCCAGTAGTGCACTTCCTTGAAATGTCCACTTGTGTAATTACAGTAATGCTGTGTGACATGCAGTCCCTTGCATTCATTCTGCCACTGCCTTGTAGAATGTTTCATGGGTAGCCATCAACCTGAGAAGAGACAAAGCTGTAAGGCTGGTTTAAAGGAATCCCTTTGCACAGTGTTTGCATTGACTTGTGTGAATATTAAATCAGAACTGACTTAGGGGAAAATGCAACTGGATTGGACTGCCCAATTATTTGCTGCACTGCAGAGCAGTTTCCATAAACACAACTGCCAGTTTAATCCTGGATTACATGCACAGTGCATCTGTCCCCAATGTAGTTACAACAGAGGTTATCACTAAAGTGGTATTATTGTTTCAAGACCTCATCTAATGCATCTATACACAAAGTGCCAGAAGGCTGTACTTTTTGGAGGTTATTACTGGAAAATAATATACTGTAGCTCATAAATCTGCTTCTTTCAAGAGTCATAGTTCAGTCTTTAAATTATTTTGTTTGTGCTAGAGCTGTGTTGATCAAGATTTCCATTCTGGGCCCACTGGATGTAGTGTAGCTGCTGTGTGGAGATCTGAAAGGTTTGGAGCTGCAGAGCTTTATGGAAAGAATTATCTACACCATTTACCCAATTTCACAACCTGAAGCTTTGTTTTAAATGCCTTAAAGATCTAGACATGCAGTATGACTCTTGAGTTTTGGCAAGGAAGCAGAGGGTGGTGAGTGTCGTACTGTATTTTATGCCGTACTGTGATCTCTACACATAGCTACTCTTATCTATAAAGAATGTGGCTGTTTCAAATTACTTGAAAAGAATCCACAAATCCTCTTCCTTTCCACGCTTTTGTGTTCTGCTCTATCTTTAAATTAGAGTTATGCTAGCAATGATTTGTTTTGCTTCTGTAAAGTCGTAAGGTGTTTTTCTAGTGGAGACACCTTATAATTTTGTGTTTTTGTGGCATTTCTCATTATGAACAGAAGAGAGAGTTTCAGGCTCTGGAAAGCTACACAGTACCTGTAATCTCTGAAGCTCTACGATAATGAACGTGTTAGTACTTGTGTGTGTTTCAGCTTTGTAGAGTTGGTATGCTCCCAGGATTGAACATGCTGGAGCTTCCTCCTGTGGCTTGGGAAAGTACTCCTATAGAGCTATCATATTTCATAGCAGTTTGGAATAACAGGGGTGTACAGGGGGTGGAGGAATGGGGGGAATTTGGGGGAAGTTGTGGTAATGTTGTTTTATTAATGTTTTTTAAAAATTGGCTCATAAAGAAAATTGTCAGAGGAACTAAGTTTCCAGGTGTCTATGAAAATGCAAGAAACGGCTGGTTTAAATGTGACACTATCATTTTTCAAGAAAAGAACATGAACAATCCAGAATTTATTTACTGTCATAGGACAAATACTTTAAAGCTGTTTGAAGAAAATAAGAAAAATACCAAATACCTGTGGCAAAGCCAAAGTAAATTTTAGACTTGAAAGAATCGTTTTTCTATTTTCTGCTCTAATCTGCAGAGCAAATGCATGGTAAAAAAAAACTATTTTTTTACTATGAAGTAGAATCATGTTTGAGTAGGAAGCCATGTCTGACTGTGTTGGCTACAAAGAAACAAGAAAAGGTTAACTGCAAACTGAAGCATAGAAAGAAAATGCACAGCTTTTTGGCTGGTGAGCTTCCTCCTGGTACAGTATGTTGACAGAGTTCAACCGACAAAACTGGCTTCTCAGGCTGGAATTAAACCTTTACTTATTATTTATTTTGCTGTGAGATTTCACAGTTTGGACATAAAGAGATGCTGATATTTAAGACATCCACAAAATATTTAGTATTGTTTTCTACGGGTCTTGGAATTGTTAGTCTGAGTTCTGCATGCCCTCTAAAGTGCCTTCGAAACCTTTTCACCCAGTGTGTTTGATCATTTACTGGTAAAGTGCTGGTTCTCACTCCCCGGGAAAACTGAGAGACTCCTGACACAGGGAGAGAAGATTGAGAGATGGGGGACGGGTGAGTAGAAAAATGTCGAATGTTGCAGATCCAGTGGCCTGTGTCTTCGTCTGTGCAGGGGCAGACTGGGAATCCTGAGTTCTCATAAGCGAAGAAAAATGAAAAAAGTTCCCTGTGGGCTGTGATGGTTTTCTCTTAAAGAAGAGATGAACCCTGGGGTTTAAAGTGCTCCATGACAACAGTTCCTGCTGTAACCAGTCATGACAAGTTGTTGATACCTCCCGAGACTCCCCGCGGAATGAGGGTGTGTCAGTTTCTGTTAGTTCCACTAGCGATTCGTTTTTTTGAATAGAGATGAAACTGGAGCTGGCAGTATCTGTGAGGGAGAGAGTACGCACTAAAAACTTGTTTTGTTTTTGTTCTGTTTGGGTGCCTGTAGCAGTGAACATTAGGGAAATAAGATGGCAGTATCACAATATTTCTGCTTCATGTGTTCGATTTTTATTCATGTTGTTCCCTTCCAGTGATTGATTTTTTGGGGTGTGGATAAACTTGTTTTTAAAGCACTTGGAAGTTTCTTTATGTGAAGTAATAATCCAAAACGTGTGGTGGCTTTGTCTGTATTTTTCTTCAAAATATACAAGCCATTGGAATGAGGATTTCAGAGTCTTAGTGGAGTACCTTCTCCGTATGTTAAAAGCAAGGGAAAAATGTGATTATCCAGTAAATACACCTCCACTTGCTTTCTTTTCTTTCTTTATACCTCTACAAGTAATAGAATAAAAGTTTACATTATCCTTGTTTACACAACTAAGAAAACTACAGTTTTTTGTGGTACTTCCTAATTTTAGTGCCGTTTCACCATTGTCACATTTCAATGAAAAGGAGGTCATTTGTACTCTCATTTGTCAGTTGATGCTGGCAAGAGAAAGGCTGCAGCTATTCAAACACAGAAAATTCTGTTAAGGTTAAGGGAATGTAATTAAGTTCAGAAGTCGCTGTGAGTCAGCTTTCCCTCCCCTCAGTAGCAGCCATTTTGACAGTGCAGTGTCTGGGCTTGTATGAGAGGTCTTTCCCGCTGTGAGGGATGGCACATGCATCTGTATGGCACATTGCAGGGCTAGCCAGGCCTGTAGCTGTAATTGATGTTCTACAGGCTCTGGTAAGCAGCATTTCGTCTCAGCTATGAGTTTGCATTCCTGTGTATGAATTTCATTGATGATTAATGTCCTTTCCAGAAGACCTGCAGTTAGACTTTCAGTCAGCTTTTACGCTCTCTGTTAATTAGGTCATGGCACGTGTGTGGCGTGGTATATTCTTCTTGCATTTGCAGTCATAATTTAGAAACACCAAGATATAAGAATGTGGTGTCTTCTACCACACCAGAACATCTTCCATTGAGTCAGTGTGATTAAGTGACACACAGGCAGACCTCATGGATTGTTTAGAGAAAATGCCTCATGTGGTCTGGAAAGCAAATGGTTCCTGTACTGTTGAAATAAGCCATCTCTGACGGGAATGCAGGGAATTATGTAAATTTGTGGCTGTAGTACATTCAGGTGCGGTTCAGTCTGGTTACCAACTACTCCATTTTTCCTTTCAGCACAACAGTAGGGTTTTTTCATTTGTCTTAATTCTTTCAAGCGATAGGTTTCTCATAACTGAATTGGAATTAGAAACATTTTACTGTCATAGGAATAATAGGAACAGGGTTGTGAAAAATACATAGTGAGGCAGTGGATTAAGAGAGGTCTGTAGTCTGAATTAATTGAGGTGTTCTAAAAATAATAATTCCTTGGCATGCTGTTAGACATAATTTTTGGTCAAACCTGTCAGTTTACCTTACACCCACAGACTAAAATTAGTAAAAATGTGATGAGCTGTAATGTTTTTCGCTCATAAATTCATGATTAATTAGTCATGATAAGTAAAACTTGTGAAGATTGAACCAA